TATACATACATACATACACACACACACACACACACACACACACACACACATATATATATATATATATATATATATATATATATATAGTCTCCCATATTTGTGGCACAAATTTTGTTTTTGGGGGTATAGTTGCTGTTGGTATCAATTAATAACATACTGCATTCAATCTGTTTTTTCCATTTTAGTGGCTAAAACTAGGGACTGATTAATGTCAATAAAGCCCCAAGCACAGCCCAACAATTGCGCTCCTCTTCTATTGCTTAACTAAAAAGATACCAGTATTATGACTCAATATGCGCTGAATACTAAAATCGAGCAATATATAGTATTATGTAAGATCCACTGTTTCATTTTCCAAGCAGTCTGTATAATATATAGGCTACAGAGAGAGTAACTGGTATGTAGATGGGAGGGTTATCCTTGTACTGCACAGTAGTCAAAAGATTTCATGTTTGAAATGAAACAGAGCAAGTGAACCAGCCAGCACCATTTATGCCGGCACGTCAGAAAATACTACTTTGAACATGTTGTAGGGAGAGATAGGTGGAGATTGCCTTCCTTACATGATAGGGTGACTAAAAGATGACATCAAACATTTCTTCCAGTGGGAGATGACAAACTTTGGATAAACTTGTCTTTCAGTTCAGTCATAAGCCATGGGTTATGTATAACGATTTAAAATATAGTTGGTTGATATCATACAACTCAATGCTATAGTCAAACAATATATTAGGCCTTGAATTCTCAGCATGGCATCTAGAAGATAATGTGTCTGCTGATATGTTATTTGGCATTTGTCAAGTTTTCTGTCCTATTTACTTTTAATTTTGAGTTTTTTTTGCATACATAGTAATTATGTTATTCCTTTTCAGGGAAAGCAAGAAGTATGGAGTAGGAAATACAAAGCCAAAAGAATTAAAGTCATGAGATATGAAAATGTTAAGGACATGTAGTTAATTGTAACCCTTAAAATGTTGGTTTTTCAAATGTGTTGAATGTAATGCATCAGCACATTTTATGAAGTAGGAAAAATGCTTGGTGAAATGATGAAGTAAAAGACTGGGAATAAGTAAAATTCATCTAAGAGGATGATTATTTGGGATGAAGATAAGGTTTTGTATGATGTGTATAAAGAGAGAACAAGTACTGTAGTTGCATGGAATATAGTTGAAGAGATCAAGGAATGCTTAAGATAAAAAGAGGGAGAGAAAATGCAGAGTGAGTTTGATGGAAATAAAATAATTGTTTTGGAAGTGAGTGAAAAAGGCTAAATGAGGAGCCTCTGGCAGAGGGAGCAGAATTAAAAATATCATCTATGGAATCTTTAAATGGCACACAAATACTATTGTGAATCTACTTGATTATTGTAGGCTATAATAACAGAATCATGTAACACTGATAGTTTCCCACTGCCCTCTCTGATTCCAAACAGAATCAAGGGAGGTTAACTTGCATTTCTATCTCAAACTCTTCTTTATTTATATAACACTGAAAAGGAATTCAAAGCACTGTGCTGGGGAGATAGCTGGATAAGACTGGAAGGTTTATAGATGGTGCTATTGACTCTCTTAAGATTGATTTATTCTAATTTGCAAGTTGCCTGACTCCATCGGAGGAGGCATCCAAATTAAAGTGACAATACATATAAAAGAGAATGCAGGCAACTAAAGGAACAACACTAAGTATGAAGAGCTCCACAAACAACCTATCCGCAGGCCTGAGGAAATAACCAGATTTTAAATAGGTTTTGGAATGTTTTAGGAGTGGAATCCATATGAATCTCTGCAGGGAGATCTCTTTCCATTAGGAGAGGGCAAGAAATCATCCCCTGCTCTTAAGGGGCATCTGGACCATGTGTTTGCAGACATTTAATGTCTGGCTGTAGGGATGCTGTGGCTCAGTGGCTAAGACACTGAGCTTGTCGATCAGAAAAGTCGACAGTTCGGTGGTTTGAATTCCTAGCATCACGTAACGGAGTGAGCTCCTGTTAACTTGTCCCAGTTTTTGCCAATCCAGCAGCTCGAAAGCATGTAAAAATGCGAGTAGAAAAATAGGGACCACCTTTGGTGGGAAGGTAATAGTGTTCCATGTGCCTTCGGTGTTTAGTCATCCCGGCCACATGACCATGGAGACGTCTTCAGACAGCGCTGGTTCTTTGGCTTTGAAACGGAGATGAGCACCGCCCCCTAGAGTCAGGAATGGCTAGCACATATGTGTGAGGGGAACCGTTACACAATGTGGACACACAAGAAAGCTCTGACACAAAGTGGCAATAATGCTGCATGATCATTTATTGTCAATTGCAATGTTGTATACAACTTCGCCACTTTGAAACACTTCCTTGTCAATTGCTTCCACCAGCATAGTTTTTTCTAATGGCTGTATGTGCCCATTGAAACTGTTGCACCAAAGTCTCACCTATGAGATCAATACTTCCTTCAACTTCTATCACCCATCAATTAACACAACATTGGAACAGTTGTTTTTTTTTTGGTAGGCCTTGCCTCATCAATTCATCTGTTAGCTCATCAGGAAGTACTGAAAAGTCCTCCTCAATTAGAGCCAGATTGTTTCACCCCCACATCTCTGGCATAGTATTGAAAATCCAATGTGTACTTATATGTTCAGTAGTTGCTCCATTTCATCTTCTGAGTTTCTTGATTTGGGGGTTTCTCCTAGCTAAATTGTCAAATTTAGAGCTAAATTGTCAGCTCTAAATTTTTCGCTAGTAATTATCTTGTAATAGTGATTGTGAAAAGTATGGGTCACTTGGTTACTCTTTCTCTTAGCAGTTTCAGAACAAAAATCACTCCGGAACAATCTGTAGGAAATTCTACCTGTTGACTCAACATAAAAAACAACCTGGGCTCCTTCAAATTTCACCATCAAACTCCATCACAGCAAATAAATATTAGTTGGCCAATAAGTTGTTGAATCACTTCTGGCCTAGACAAACTTTGTCCCAAATATGTTAGTAATATCATGGCATTGGGCAAGTTTGTTATTTGTATATGCGCTCACTGTTGATGTTGCAACAATACTTCAGCAAGGTGTTTCTTTGCTGGGTTATGGACCTGATACCATCTTCACAATCAAAAGGTTGGATATCCTCTCTTATTAGAGATAATGGTGAAGCATTTAAGAATGTGTCAGCCCTTTGAACTAGGTCAGGTAAGGAAACATACCACAACTAGTCTCTAGAAGACTATTTTAAAAATAAGTTTCGACAGAGTTTTCCATTTGTCTGTTTTATTAACATATGCATATTTTGTGATTGGCCACATCCACTCTAGCATTATGTGAAAGTTCCATAATCTGCTCTCAAAATTCCAAATATGTCCCCCTCAAAGTTGACGACTCCTGTATTAATTCCCTTTTACTCCTTACTGTGCTACATCAGCCAGACTAGTAACTTATTTCTGCATTTTAGTTATTCCTTACTGGTTTTTATTGGGGAGGAGAGGCGTTAGGGTAGGAATGTTTGACTTATTTTTTTTTTCCCATGGAAGAGTATCTTGAATCTCTGAGGAAACCTGATTTACATTCATTATGATATCATACAGAAAGAGCTGTGTCACGCTATTTTCATTCAAGGGGAAAATAACTGCAGGGGTAAACATAAGTTGGGTATAATTGTACCAAATTAGGAAGGGCATGGAAATTACCGGAGGTTAATTTAAAGTAACTTGAGGTTTGCTAACTTTAATATGCCAGGAAGTGATTCAGTTGCATACTATTTTACTTGCTCCCTGGGAAATTTATTGAAGGACCCTTAAAATAAGGGAAAAAAATCTGAAATTTAGGCATGTACTCACCTCTTTGATTATTTCCTGATTTAAGGGAAATGAATGTACAGGCAAGGTCAACTTTCTGGTTTTGGCAGCACCACTTCCATATGACAAACAAGAGCACTGGAAATAAAGATGTTTTTTTAAAAAAACAAATCAAAAGTTGCTTACTTTTTAAATACCCCTCCCGACAAAATGACTACACAAAATTATCCAGATTACTACCATGCTCAGCTATGACATACAAAAGAGAGAAACGATCTCTTTCCTGGAAGAAGAATATCTAGTTCTGCTGGATTGTACTTGGCATAGTGGAAAAAGGAAGGTTCGGTGCATTGCAGCTGGTTGGCAGAAGTTAATGAAATGTTTTGAGTTTCTTCAAAGGATCCTTTCAATGTACATTTGACATCTTGTTCTAAAAAGAGAGTGTAAAGTAAAAAAAAAAAGTAGTATGCAAATTAATATCAATGCCACCTATAGACATGAATTGTAACAGCAATAGCACTTAGACTTATATACCGCTTCATAGGGCTTTCAGCCCTCTCTAAGCGGTTTACAGAGTCAGCATATCGCCTCCACAGTCTGGGTCCTCATTTCACCCACCTCGGAAGGATGGAAGGCTGAGTCAACCTTGAGCCAGTGAGATTTGAACCGCCGAACTGCAGCTAACAGTCAGCTGAAGTGGCTGCAGTACTGCACTCTAACCACTGCACCACCTCGGCTCTTGTAATTAATTGCAATCTTCCTTTTTAAAAAAAAAACCCTATTGATTGCTTTCAACATTGCTGAAAAACATGGTCTGGATATGTATAAATAAAGGATATAAATATTGTGATATAAATATATATGTGCAGCAGCTTGCGATCAGTGTGGCTTACTCCCAGAGAGAGGTCCATAGAAATCAACCTTATTTCTCAACCAAATAAAGCTAGAATGCTTTGAAATTCCCTCATGGCCATGCTTCTTTCCAAAATATGATTGGCTTTATGCTGATCTTGAGCAATGTACATTTTAGTCATGCAAATTTCTATTCCTGGCTATTTTATTATTTTGACTCAGTTCCATTTTAGAAATATTAACAGAGTGGGAAACCCTATACCATTTCAGACAAAAGGATGTCCAATCTCTTCTTAAAAACCTCCAGTATTGGAGCACCAACACTTCTGGAGGCAAGTCATCCCACTGATTAATTGTTCTAATTGTCAGGAAATTTCTCCTTAGTTCTATGTTGGTTCTCTCCTTGATTAGTTTCTACTCATTGCTTCTTGTCCTGCCCTCAGGTGCTTTGGAGAATAGGTTGAGAGCAGCGGTGGGTTGCTGCCGGCATTATTGCTGGTTCGCACCCCGTGTGCAACATGTGTGTGCACGCGTGCACTCTTCAATGTAAATTGTTCTGCATGCATGCACAGAACAATTTACAGTGAACTGCGCACGTGCAGTTACTAAAATTCAAAATGGCGGTGCCTAAGCAGCAGAGAGGGAAACGGTTCGGGGTGTATCAGGCCTGGATCGCTGCCGGTTCTGCAACCCACCTCTGGTTGAGTGCCTCTCCTTTGTGGCAGCTTTTTAGATATTGGAACATTGCTATCATGTGACCCCTAGTCCTTTTTTTCATTAAACTAGACACACTCAATTTTGAGATACTACAATAAACATAAAATTATCAATATTTCAAAAAATGAACTTGAAAAGAAAATAATTTTCTTGCTTGGGTACAAATTCTCGAGATTGAACTTGACCTGATCTGGCCCACCTTTTCAATCTGGGCATTTCAGATATTCAGAGTCCAGTGCTCCGAATACAGCAATAGTGTAATCGGGGTCAACAAATGCCTGAATAGAAATTCCAGCAATTTTACGCAAAGTCTTTTGAATGAAATACCTGAACCAGGTGTAGTAATTTGTTTATAAACACTGTAATGCAATATAGCCTCACGTTTTGTATGCTTTTTCTTTTTCTTCCGTTTCTTCCTGTCTACTTGAAACTCCAAGCAGCAGAATTCACGACACTGAAACAAAAGGAATTTCCTCACATTTTCAATTTCTGAGAAAGTTGTATAAGCAGTGAACTTTATTTCCTAAACCAAATGCTGTAAATTTTGTTCTGATGTAATGCTTTAACCAACTAAATGATACTATGTAGTCATATGAAGTTTATAAATTAATTAGCAAGCAATTATGACATATATAAACTGAAGAGGAAATGGTTTGAAATTAGATGTTGCTGGTAGAGGGCCTGCTTGGTAAAGGTCTGCTTTTCCATTTCCATTTCCATTTATTGAATTTATAGGCCGCCCAATCCCGGAGGACTCCAGGCGGCTTACAGAATTAATGTAATAAATTCATTAATGTATTAATGAATTTATAGGCCGCCCAATCCCGGAGGACTCTGGGCGGCTTACCTATTAAGTGCCCAACATTATACTCAAAACCTCCTTTTTAAAATATTATCTGCTCTCATAAGCACAGCTGTAGATTCCTATTTTCATATTTACATAGATGAGCAGTTTGATTAATTGGAACCATTAATTTGTTAGTAAAGGGTAAAGGTTCCCCTTGCACATATGTGCTAGTCATTCCCGACTCTAGGGGATGGTGCTCATCTCCATTTCAAAGCCAAAGAGCCAGCAATGTCGGAAGAAGTATCCATGGTCATGTGGCCAGCATGACTAAATATCGAAGGCGCACGGAATGCTGTTACCTTCCCACCAAGGTGGTTCCTATTTTTCTACTTGCATTTTTACATGCTTTCGAACTGCTAGGTTGGCAGAAGCTGGGACAAGTAACGGGAGCTCACTCTGTTAGGTGGCACTAGGGATTCAAACTGTGGAATCACTGACCTTTTTGATTAACAAATTCAGTTTCTTAGCTACTGAGCCACCACATCCCATTGAATTTGTTAGTAGACTATACTAAATAACACAGATGACACATACAAGTACCCATGAACAAGTTCTGAAATTAGCATCCCTAGGAATAAATTGGTTAGCCATAGGAATTCTTGTTGAATATCACGCTTGGACAACCATTAACTATAATAGGCAAAACTCTGGAGTGACTTATGCCAGCAGAGGCTGGGTTAAACCACAGGCGGCTACCAGAAAGCTATGGTTCTACTTCCACTTAATGTTTATTCAGCAAATACAACTACAGGCCTAGTCTTGATGAAATGACAATTATCTATGTAAAAGTGATAGCTAACCAACATCTCATGGCTGTAGAAGAGGAGGCAGAAGGTCCAAAGGATGAATAAAAACAGTTAGTGTAAGGAAGCAGCTTTGAAGAAGTGTTTTGCTCCATCCTTCATTAAAACTAAGCATTGCTTCAGATATCTCCATAAGCCCAATATTTAACAGAGTGTGACTCTTCTGTTTTAATCTGTATCCATGTGCACAGGAAATTTCAACCATTTGTTTATTAATGTATAAGGAGATGTGGGCATTTTAACAAAGGATTGTATCAATTCATGTGGCAAACCAATTCAAATTCTCATGTAGACATTATGAATTTAACTAAGTCACTGAAGTGCCCTCCACAATTTATAATTTTAATGCATCAGAAAAAGTAAATTGCAAAGTATATGGATCAAGCAATGCCTGATTAGAAATTCCATAATCATGTCAATTGCTGTAATTTGTTTTCTTGTAATTAAATTTAATCAAGTTTCATTTTTATCTTGATGTCACTCATTTCCTTTCTGGACTCTGCCTACTTTTAGGAAAGTGGAGAAGGCGTGTTTTTCAATAACAAAGGAGACTCTTGGCCAACCAAAGTTTGCACAATCCTTGGTGGAGCAGGTTCATATTTTTCTAATTGGAAAATAAAGGATTAAAGAAACAAATATATAAATAAAAATTACCACCACTGCTCCATTTGTAGTTATTGTTTCAAGTGGCCCCTCTCTATAAAACAGAAATATGGATATAACATTACAATTTAAGAAGACACAATGATTCGACATGAGATATAGCTTAGCAGTTACAGCTACATTAGCCTATATATTTCAAGGAAAATTGTATTTCTTAATGCCAATGCTTTCACGATTCACAGTAATACACATTCTAGTATGCCAAGCAGCTATAAGCCAGACACCAGATAAATTAGTTCCCATGAATTTCCTAGGAAATTCTGACTCCTACTAATTAAAATCTTCCAGAAGATTCAACTCAAGGGGATAAAGAAGCATCACTCAAAGCCATTCCTGTAAAGACCTGGTACTGAAATCCTGCCTTGGTGTTCGAAGGCTGTTAGAGTCTGGGTAGGGAAAACCATCAAAGCTTACTCCCAGAAAGATGAATGAATGAATGTGGGTTTTGAAGCCAACTGACTCTTGACTCCTTCTTTAATTTTAAATAGGTTGCACTCCTCTGGATGGATATCATTCATGGTTTGAGAATCCTCTTTGACAAGAACAACAGGTGGGGGTGTAGTCAAGAGGTTTAATATAATTATATTAGGTGCACCAGCTGCCATAGAACAAAATGCTGACAGTTATTGCTTTTATCATTTTCCATCTGAATTATTGTAATCCTCCATATCCGAGGCTGTCACTGAAAGTTATTCTGAGACTGCAGCTGGTCTAGGGTGTGACAGCCTGGATGGTTATGGGTGTGCTGAAGTTTGTCCATGTGCATATTTTTTAGCAGGAACTTAAATGGCTGCCAGTTAACTTCCAGATGCTATTCAAGGTGCTGGTTGTCTCCTTTAAAATTCTGCATAGAGTTAGATCTTGGATGACTCTGACATCACTTGCTCTGTGTGGAATATATGTACCTATCCAATGAGTTCAGGGCAAGAAGGCTTGCTAAGTATTATTCTGTCAAGAAAATATCTTCAGGGATCTTGTACTCAAGGCTTCCTGGTGATGGCCCTTTTATTGACTCAGGATACAAGGATTGCTCCTCCCTTACTAAATTTTAGAATACTCTTGAATCTTCCAGAGGCATAAGTGAGATGAGACATTAAATATTGTAGGAATTGGGACAACTTGTCATCCAACGAGAGTTCATGCTGTTGCATGGTTGCTGCTCTTTAAGGTCTGTACAAGAGCTGAAAGCAAGCAAGCAAACTTTAACAAGGTTGTTTTCTCCTCAATTTGCAGGAACCATAATAGAGAAAGCTAATGTCTAAAACTTGATTTGAATTGAGATTCATACAGTTGTTATGCAAGAAACAATCACTTCACTCCGTGACAATTGTTTTCATTTCTTCACTTACTGGGCCAAAGAAGAGTTATTATTTGAATGACATGATTTTGATTTTTTTATAGACAGCAAGTGAAAAAAATGAGTGGTTCTGCTATTTATACAATATTGCATTTGTATTATTATGGACTTTTCCAACAACTTATTTCAATGTTATTTGGATTACTCACATATTCTCCAAAGTAAATTCAACTTCCATTTCTTCATTTTCCTGAAAATTAAAATGTAACACATATGACAGACCTTTGGCAAGTAACCAGTAACCTCCCTTCACCTATCACATGAAAATGTTTCTCAAGTCCCATTTTCTTTCAGCAAAAAGATATGCTTGCTTAAAAAGAAACATGAATGTACACAAGTACATTCTGTACTCTTCTTTAGAACAGCATTGTTGTTTCCCTTTATCTGGATAGTTAATGGTTTAGTAATAATTAGATTAACTGTTTTGCAAAATTCAATATTCAAACTAAACATTTGCTGTCATCTAATAGCCTGAAGTAATTAAACCCAGTTCTTAAAACAACAGATTCTGGTCTTGATTAAATTTCAGTCAAAAACTTTAATTGATGTTGTGGTTTTCATAGAAAAAAAAACTCCTTTAAAACTTAAGGTCAAAGTAGACATTGTGCTTTTGGCAGACTGAGTCAGAGTGGAAGAATCATTCCAAACCAGTCCAAAAACCTATATAATATAGCATTCAATTACATAGGTGCTTTTTTCAAGAAGCAGCTGGACTTTCTGTTTTTCTTTGAAGATGTTCCGCTTCTCATCCAAGAAGCTTCTTCAGTTTCAAAGAAAAAACAGGAAGTCCAGTTGCTTCTTCAAAAAGCACCTTTGGGACAACCATGATCTGGATGACTGAGAATCTCCATAGATATATTTAGACATTTTGAATTATGAAGACCAGGGGTCAGCAACCTTAAACACCCAAAGAGCCACAAAGGTCCTAACTGGAAGCCTCCCATTCAATTCTGGAAGTCCAGTTCCCCCATCAGAGAGTCCCCTCTTAGCATAGTGTTCTTTTTCCTCTGCTGACTAGAAGTCTGGTCCCCCCACCATAGAGTCCCCTCTTAGCATAGTGTTCTTTTTCCTCTGCTGACTAGAAGTCCGCTTAGCCCACCATAGAGTCTCCTCCTAGCATAATGTTCTTTTTCCTCTGCTGACTAGCAGCCCAGTTCCGCCACCATAGAGTCTCCTCTTAGCATAGTGTTCTTTTTCCTCTGCTGACTAGAAGTCCGGTTCCCCCACCATAGAGTCTCCTCCTAGCACAATATCCTTTTTCAACAGAGAGTTGAAAGAGCCACATGCTGCCCCAGAGCTGCAGATTACTGACCCCTGTGCCAGACAATCCAGATGTTTTAAATTGTCTCATGTCTCCTCATAAGATCCAGTTTTTGAGGGACTTTTTTGTCCACTCTACTGGCCTACAAAGCCCAAAAAATCACTAGAGAGGAATTGAGAGAGACAGTCTCTCCGCATCTTTTTGTTGAGATGGTTGTCCAGATATTTTCCATTCAAATACAATAAATTTTTATGTATTTAGCACACGGCATCTACAGAGGTCATGCACTCACTGACATATACATTTAGTTTAAATAAAGCATCAGAAATCTTTCTCTCTCTTGCTCTCTCTCCAATGATATGTGGACCATGCTATACAGAAGCAAAGTATATTAATATAAAGCTATAATAAAATCACCATAATGTGGAGCCATAGAATTGCAATGGAATAGGTGTGATAATTTGATATATGAGGAAGCTAACCATCTAATTGCTTCGGGTGAGGATGTGGACAGGTGCCTTGAAATTTCCTGAGGAGATATTCTTGAACTTATTATATGTCTTATAGTTTGTTATAGTTTGTTCCAATCCATCACAGTGGCATTACAGGCTCTTAGCCATCCCCCACATGGCCTGTCCTGATTCTATTGAGATGGCTCCATATTTTCAGGGTAATTACATTCCTGGAAGTGGTTTTGTTGCATCCATGTAATCTGTTGTGTTGTGGTTATTAAAAGTTGCCCATGTTATGATGGGCTATGACAGTGATAGCAAACCTTTTTTGGCTCGCATGCGAAAAGCGGGGGACAGCAGAGGGGTTGTGCATGGGTGTGCTGCACCCATAATGCTTTGCGTACGACCTCAGTGCCCATGCACACACACCAGTGCTTCTCCCAATTTTTGGCGTGCTTTTTTCATCCTCCCCAGGCTTGAGAGGCTTTATAGGAGCCTGGGAAGGATGAAAACAGCTCCTCCCTCCCACCTGGAGGCCCTCCAGAGGCTTCAGGAACTTCTCTGAAGCCTCTGGAGTGCAGAAAACCGGCCCCAATGGCAAACTGGAAGTGACTTCCGGTTTGTTTGTAGAGTTGTTTTTTGCCCTCCGGAACCTTCAGGGAAGCCTGAACACTCTGGAGGGTTAAAACCGACCCTATGAGCAACCTGGAAGTGACTTTGGGTTTGATCATAGGGTTGTTTTTTGCCCTACGGAGCCTTCAGGGAAGCCTCCTGAAGGCTCCGGAGGGCTAAAACTGGACCTACAAGCAAACTGGAAGTACGTTCCCAAACTTCCGGTTTGCCCATAGGGCCGTTTTTTTGCACTCTGGAGGCTTCAAGGAAGCCTCTGGAGGGTGAAAAATGGCCTCAAAAGGCCAAAGTCAGCTGGCCAGCGTGTGCATGCATGCTGACCAGCTGACAGGGCAACACCTCATGTGCCCTGACAAATGGCTCCGTATGCCACCTGTGTCACGTGTGCCATAGGTTCGCCATCACGGGGGTATGAAGTATATACCTCCACAATGGCATACCCTGGGCAACATTCTGCCTTAATAAAGTGACTAAAAGTCTACAGACACATCAACCAAACTGGATATTACATCTCCTACAGTCAAACACTATAGAAACAGCAATTAAACTTGAAGGTAATATCAGGGCATGCAGGTGTCAGACTGAGGAGGCTGGTCTACATAGGGTGAGGTAGGATCCTTTGGTTAGAAAGGGAGGGGGAGGGAGGGAGGAAGGAAGGAAAAAAGAAAGAAAGGAAAAAGAAAGAAAATAATAAATAAATAAATAAATAAATAAATAAATAAATAAATAAATAAATAAATAAATAAATAAATAAATAAATAAATAAATAAATAAATAATTGTGGGAGCCTTCAGACAAGTTTTCTTCTTTCTCTTGGAAGCTGCCAGTGAAATTTTTTGAGATTGGTTACAAGGACAGCCAATACTACTTTAACCTGACTCCCCCCAAAAAACCAAAATCCCATGGGTGTGGATGGGGGGGAAAGGAAAACAAAGAAAGCTGAGTCAGTATATGAAAAGAAAATGTTTGTTTATATGTGAGTGTTCAGATAGGACTGTCCATAAAGGTTTTGTGAGTCCATATATAATTATATATATAAAATTGTAAAATATATGGTTGCTGCTTATAATAGATATATATTCTTTATATATATTCCTTTTATTTCCACTTTAATTATATTCTTTCTTGGAGTAATACGACTATATTTCTCTGGAATGTATTGCATATTGTCAGTTCTAAGAGATTCTGGAGATATAAATGAATTCTGATTAAAGTATCGCATCATAGAATGGGGGGAAAGCAAATGTTTATCTTGCATTCTATATACATAGAAAGTTGAAAGAGAGATTCAGTGTTGATCTTTAGTATTTTTGCCTTTTCAAGGCTCAAGTATGACAAAGTAGATTTAGTGATATTCACCACTATTGCACACAATAATAATATAGTCTGGATTGGGTTTGGTTAAGAAGTCCAGGCTACTTCTATGTTCTGTCATTATGTTTCTGATTCAGTTTCTCCCTCTCCTTGTGTGGTTACAGAATCAAATAGAAAGGAGATATAAAGCATCTGTTGCTTTCTATTGAAGTATAGTGGCTATTACCCAAGAAAGAATGGCAAACACACACACACAAACACACACACAGACACACACACACAAACAGACAGTATCCACTGTCTGGGCGGGTGGACAGAGCCTCCCGCCTCCCGCCGCCGCCACTACTACCAGTTCGGCCGAACCGAGTCGAACCAGCAGCAATCCACCTCTGATCCAACAGAAATGGTTTGAATTTATTCACACTCACCAGGCGATCCAATTCAAATGTGACCATTATTGATTCTCCAAGTGGGATTTTAGCTACATCAAAGTAAATTGTACGGTTGTCGTCATTTTGATATAAATCTTCATCGCATATTGTCAGTTCCAAAACATTCTGAAGACAGAAATAAATTCCGTTATGACTGAAATACAATATCACAGAACGGGGGAAAGGCAAATGTTTATTTTGTTCTGCCTTAGGTACAGTGGTGGGATTCAAATAATTTAACAACCGGTTCTTTGCCCTAATGACCAGCTGGGTAGGCATGGCTCGGTCATGTGACTGTGTGGGCATGGCCAACTCAATGTCACTCAGGTCGATGGGCGCTTCACCTTAGTTGTTACAATGTAATAAGGGTTAACCAAAGAGGCAGTTTCTGTAAGCAGGGCAATAAAGATGAGGCTAGAAACAACACCAGAATGTTTCTTCCTGCCTTCCATAGCCCTGTAAAGTGGAAAAAAACACAAAAAGAGATTTCTTCCAACAACTGGTTCTCCAAACTGCTTAGAAAGTTAACAACTGGTTCTCCCAAATAGGTGCGAACTGGATGAATCCCACCACTGATTAGGTGGCAAAATACTGGGAGCTATATTTTGCTATATTTTACTGTGAAAATATATTTTCATGTGCTCCTTTTCTTCTTCTTCAGGGTCCTGTATCCTAATCCAAGCCTTTGTGGTTGGTTTGTTTTCACAAAAAAACTGACACTTTGGGAAAATGGAATATCAAATTTTAGGCCTTGGAACCATCTTGAGTTATTAGTTATTTACCTACAAATCTGAAATATAGGAGCTTTGTGAAAAAATATTTACACAATCAATTTCTCCAAGTTTTTTGGCTGCTGGTCCTTTAATTCATTAACCAACATAATAACAGCTGACTAATGGAAATGAGTGTGGAAGTCCAATACTGAAAATGGCAAAAATAAGATACAAGAAGGGGAAATGGTAAGAAAATGCCATCCTCTAGCAATGCCCTTCCAAAAGTAAATTAGTGTGGGGTAAATACTGTGAGGCCCAAATTGTCGACTTACTCAGAATAGTGAAAGTAACAAAATTATATATATAAGATTTTAAATAAATAAATAT